TACTATTATCACGTTTGTGACGAATCAAACTGCATTGAGACTAAAAATAATGTGTGTTTTGCATCATACTTGGAGATAGTACAGTCAAGAATAAATAAGACAACGATAAAGGATATGTTATATAAATTATTTCATTTTGATTTTTCCTCGCCAAAGAATAGAAAATGGGGCAAAAATGATTTCATTACATTTGCTGGAGTAATTGCGGCCCGTCTACATTATATTAGGGCTTCATACAAATGGACAAAAAATGAAACAAGAGTGGCTAATTATTTGACAGAAGAAATAACAGCTATGAATGCTTCATCGGTTTATAAAGAATTTCTTAAAAAACTTCTATTAAACTCTAATTCTTTGATTCAACTGTTCAAAGACAATGATGTCGATGAAAATCTAAATCGAAATAGCTCTGAAGGCGATGAATTTCTAATGAAATCAGTCATTATACACTTAATTATATTACATGCTTCCATCCCAAATAATGCAAGTCCACTGGCTGCTTATCTCCATCAGTTACAAGCTTGTCGAAATGACTTCATTCTGACGAGTCCGTCTGATGTAGAAGGAGTTGTTATGAATGCAGTCGCCTCCGTCAGGTACTGTTCTATTGAAAAATTTTTACAGAAATTTACAGGATTTTACTGAATTTTGTAGCTTAACTTTTAACTACACGAAATCCTATATAAAAACAAGATCTCATAAAATCCTGCAAAATGCTGCATAATGCAATTTCTTTATGACATTTCTGATATACAGCTATAAAACATTATTTATTTATTTTCTAAAGAAATTCAGATGAAGGTTCAGGTGATGGTGTCACCAGGTAATGTGCCAACATCGCTGTTGTCTTAACATTTTGAATGTGCCTTTATAATGATAAAGACTATACTAAATTGTATGATTCAAAAGGTATCAATGCAAATGCGGCGAAAAATTTTTTGTCTTTGATTGTTGGAATTTTGGAAAACCTAAAGAAAGACCTAGCATTTCGGGTAAGTGCATAAATTGCAAGAGAGTTATTGGTTATGGTTCAATTGAAGGTGAATATAGTCGCTTGGATAGGAGCTTGATTAAATCTGTACCAATCAATCATGAGTCTGGATACATAGTTGAACAAATTTCAACAGAAAAAACACAGAATGTCCGCATGATGACACCACAAGCTTATCGCATATTACATTTGTTTGTACATGCTCTACTTGGTGCATCTGTACCATCGTCTATCGCATCGGAATTTTTTGCAAAGAATGGTAATAATGCTGGAGATACGATGGAACACTGTCTTCGAAATATTCGCAATGACTGGAGGGTGCTTAAGGAGATTTTTAATTGTAACAACGAACAATTGGCTTTGATTTTGCATTCTATTATCTTTTCAATGACAGAAAACCCATCATTAGACGAATGGAAATTGGATACCCCAGAAAAACGGGAAGAGTGGGAAAATAAATTTAGCATAGATCTTAATTTTAGTGTCTCTAATGTAATAGTT